AGCCAAACGTTAGCTCATTACCTGTTCAATGATATCCTCAGAACTAGTGAAAACCCGAAAAACCAGCAGACCATCCTCAAAGCTATCGTGCAACTTAGCATGTGAAATAAGTTACTGGAGAGACAATATACAACCGAATCTCACCGATAGTCGAAGGCGTACTCGTTCCGGAATAGGCAGGATTCCAAAAAGGGCTCAAGACGGTCTACACATTTGTAGACGTGTCGTCGGGTTACGATACAGTATGAGAAATGGTATGGTATACAAGCTACAACAAATCATTCCATGCAAGAGGATTACTAACCTCATAAGGAACTTGCTGAGCAACAGAAGAATTAAAGTGCGTCTCAATGATAAGCCCCGCTGGTCTCATCCTTACATACTCTCAATGGTCTACCACAAAGGTCGTTACTTTCCCGACTTCCAACTATAACACAAGGAAAGCACTAGCACATGAATTGATAAAATTGAAATACCTGGGCATAGAAATATCAAGATACGGTGACATCGAGACGGAGATAAGAAGACAAAAGCGGTAAAGCACCAATATCAGCTTAAGTGAACGATTCAATCTTCCGAAACAAATATATCGAAATCGACACCAAATCCATAATCTATAAAACGGTCATCCGACTTATATTAACATACACAGCCGAAACCAGACCATCTACTTCGGACACAAAGGGAATATTAGAAACCTGTAAAATAAAAATTGTGCGCATTTTTATTTTACAGGTTACACTCGCTTTTTTCAGGGCGGGAAGTGAGGACATTAGCCGAACACGTAAAATAGACAACGTAAGTGAATGGATTCTGGGAATACAGAGAGAGTGGAACGCACACAGAGGTCCGATGAACGGTGACAGAATGGTTCAAATAAGCTAAGAGAAATCGCAGTTAGAGCTCCGAAGCTGGAAGGCCCCACCAGAAATGAAGAAGACGAAGACTTTAAGAACCCAACGTGTCCCAAACCCAAACGACTGAAATCGGAAGCCACCTCATATCATGTATCAGACACACACAGAAACATTATTAGATCTGCTACACAAGCAATAACCTATTCTGAAGCTGCACTACGCACCGGTGTCATACCAGTCACCATACACAAAATTTTGACGTCGAGCTGAATGAAGCAATCAATAGTAGAACGGGTACTATAATCAACCCCCTTAATATCATTTCCGATGGCAGGTTACAATGTACACGTCAAATAGAATGAGATCACAGCTATTAATCAGGGAATACATAAGCTGGACCTTATCACAGACGCGTCAAGCCGACCACCTGGTATGGCCTGCCCCCGAACCGTTTTTCTGAAAGAAGTCGTCTAAACCATTTTAAGGTGGCTCATGGTAGATGTTGTGATATTCTCCACAAATGGAGAAACGAACAATTGCCAGCGTGTGACTGCGGTGCCTCAAGTCAAAAGATCGACAAATCTTGAGCAGATGCCGTACTAGAGGTTTTGCTAGGGATATTCAGGAATCACACTTGGCTATTGCCTACATCAGCTATTGACTGAATAAATAGTCTTGACAAGTATACTGTCAATGGTAACGCCACCACTACAGTTCAGATTAATGACGGAACTGATCCCGAGTGGGTTAACCGGGATGGGAGGCAGAGAGGAACAATACACCGGGAGCGAGGTAGGAGGATACAAAGTATTTACTACGGTTCTAGAAGTTATATCCGAAACGCTCGTGTGAGGAAATGTTGGCATTAACATCAACGGTGAACACTTGAATAATCTACGAATTGCAGATGACATTGTACCCCTCGCAAACAAAATAGAAGTCTTTCAAACGATAGTCTCAGCGCTAAACTATGCCGCAAAAAATCACGGTCTCCAGACCGATGCAATTAGAACAAAAATAATTGTATATACTTTCCTGACTGTTTCCTTCCTAAAATGCATGCCAAGGCTTAAAACAGCAATAACGCTACGCATAAAAACTGATGATGGTGGAAAAATACACCGAAACGTATTTTCATAGAGAGAATAAATAAATAGAGGCAATAAATGACTGAAACCCAGGAATGAATTGGAAACAAAAATTATGTCAAACTCAGTGGACGTTACGATAGTCGATTTAGGTGACATCAGTGGGCTCATCGTCGATGCATACATATATATTGGCCAGAAAATATCCTTCGATAGGAACGTACTGCTGCCAGAAATCAAGAGAAGGATTGAAATTGGATGGTCAGCATATTGCGGACTCAATACCGCATTTAAGACAAAATTTCTGCAACACCTCAAAACTCAGGTCTTCAACCAACATTAATAGACCCAGTAAAAATTTCGCAAAGAAGGAC